CTTCTTCTTCTTCTTCTTCTTCTTCTTCTTCTTCTTCTTCTTCTTCTTCTTCTCTTCTTCTTCTTCCTCCTTCTCCTTCCTTTTGTGATGAGATCTTCCTAATTTCCTCTGGCTGGCCTTAAATTTGAATTTTCAGTCTTCATGTCTCAGCCACTTAAGTAGCTGGAATACCACACCCAGCTGAACTTCAAGGATTTTCCAACATTATACATTTTAACTTTTTTATAAGCCAAATGTATTAGAAGTGCAATTTTTAAATTTTCAACATAATTATACACTATTTTTATTAACTTGATTGCAATCTGACAAGGAGTAATCAAGTGTGATCCTCATTTTTTAGTGTTTTATATGACTTGCTTTATAACCTACATAAACATCCTAACCTATGAGTGTTAGAATATATGTCATCTAGTTTGGTTGTGAAAGACTTTATAGCTGCCCAGTAGATTAAGTTTGTTGTGTTATTCAGATATTCTACGCTCTTATATTTTTTGTTTTCTTGATCTAAAAATTCTTGAGAGAGGTGTATTAACATAGTGATCATTTTATTATTATCTCTGAATTCTCTAGTTCTGTTTATGCATTTTGCAGCTATTTCATCCAGTACATAAAACCTGAAAATCTCTTGACTTATATTCTAGCAAAATAAATATTCTCATCACATAGTACCACTCTCTATCTACAAAAATAGTCTTTGCTTCACTTAGCTGCTCACTTGCTGCCACATCAGGTAGGGTGTTTTTTCTTTGATTCTGTTTGTTCTCATATTTTAAACATGTTTCTTAAAAATAGAATATAGTATTTGTTTCTCTGTATGTAGTCTGATATTCTATTATCTCTAAATGGAATAGCATAAACCAATTATATTTAAATTACTGACATATTTGGATCTACTTCCAATTATTTATTTTGGTTTCTCCATGTTCCTGTTTCAGTGCTTTTTTGTATTTTATTCTTTGCTTAGTTCTCAAAGTTTATTTTGGCAGTGTTTTCCTTTTTTTTCCCACATCAATTTGAAAAGTTTTTATCATTGATTTTTATTCTTTCTTAATTTTTATTTTTATTCATACCTATTTTCAGTATACGATGATTACATCCATCATGAGGGGTTGCTACCTAACACACCTTAACATTTTATGTGCTCTTCAATCCCTGAAATTTTGACAAGCACCTCTTAAAAAGTCTCAAGTTAACCAACTCCTTCCCCTCTACATTAAAAACAAATAAAAGGTCATCAGGATAACTCCACTTTCTCCTCCTGGTTCAAGTTCCATTGTCATTAGACTGCTTTGTCTTTTTTAACCCACATTTTAGATATCTTTTTAATTAGAATTTCTTTTTTAAATTAATTTTATTGAGAAACAAATAGTAATGAGACAGTTTCAAAGCAGGATAGTAGGACAGTTGCAATAATTAATATATTGCATTAGAATTTCTTCCATTGATCCTGTTGGTGGCAAGAGACCTCTGCTGATGGTAAGTACTTTGAGTTGGGGCAAATGCTGTTTTGTGACTGAAAATATTTCCACGTTTGAAAATAGATTTCTAGATGTGAAATTCCAAGATGAACGTATTTTTTTCCCACAATCTCTCTTCTCTTGTGTTGTGGAATAGCCAACAGTCTTTCTTCTTCCTTCGTGGGTAACGTGTCCTCTGGCTCCTCCCTGCCGCCTTGCCTTTGATGTCCTGCAGTTTCACTCTAACACCTCCCTGTGTGGAGTTCCTTTTATTTTTAACCTCCCTTGGGATTCACTGAAATTATGAAATCTGAATCAATGTCATTTAAGTTTCAGTTTCATCTTTTCTGTTCTTTTGTCTTGGACATTCTGAATGATTTCTTCCTATCCATCATCTTCCAATTCACTCATCATTCAACTCTCTCAAACGTCTCATTTAAATAAAACATTAATTACATTTAGTTACATTTTTCTGTTAAGTCACATATGATAGTGAACTGACTGTAAGAAAGCAAGAAATACTCAACTAAATGGAATCAGCTTAGTTCTGTGCGTATCTGAGGGGATCTACTGAAGACAGACAACCCAGCTTAGGATGCTTTGTCACCTGCATGATACAAAAGGGAAATGAAGAAGGAAGGCTTGCTTCGGCTTCCTTGGGTGCTCCTGTCTTCACCTTCACGTTGGGTGTTGCCTTCTGGCTTTCGTCACAGACCCTGCACCTTCCAGCACCTGCTCTTCAGTCTCCTGATGTGGGCTTGTGCGGAACACTACACTGACCTCCAGCACTTCAACTGGCTCCTTCAGATCTCCAGTACACAGTCAGACCTTTTGCTCATTCTCACACC